CATGGAAAGTGATAACGATATGCGAGATTTTCCAGCAGTAGAAACCCTTAAATGAGGAAACTGCGAGATCAGGAAAGGGCGGTAAGATAACGCTGTAAAACAGTCGTACTGAGTTTGTCTCGGCTTTTGCTAAACTTCGCGAGTTTCGATGCTTGTCGCTGCAAAGCCCATGCAGTGTGATTAACAACGGAATGATTGTCGTCTAGAGATGCGTCGATATTGTCAAAATGGTCCTGAGAGGTTTCAGCAGCAAACTGCTTTAGCTGTATCCTAAAGCGTTCATCGATCGAAACTATTACCAAACAATCACTGAAACGAATAGATTTGGTGCGCTGGCAGGAAAACTTACTTCGTTGGCCATCGCAACTGCCCAAACTCATTGTCACTACGGGGACTTTCGATATACCGGTAACCCTTCAGAGGATGAATGGAAAGCGTGAAACAGTCAGGTGATTCATTGTCAGAACAAAGCTCGATGACCCCTGTAAACGCACAACATCAACTCCAAAGCCGTACAGATTCACAGGGCACGACATGAGCTTACCACGAAATTCCGGTACGAACGACGTCAGTTCCGCAGGAAGGGACTGATAGAACTTGCTTTCACGATATGTAAACGGTTTGCACAATGTCCTTTCTTCAAGTGAAAGAAAACATGCGTGGCCTCCGACCTAAAAATTCGCAGCCATTATCAAAACTGCATTCATGTTATAAAATAAAACAAGGGCACACACGAGCTGCCAATCTTAAACTAGAAAAATCAGACAAAATTAATAGGTTTTGATATGCAATCATTCAGAAAATTACTGACCATATTTTAAGCAACAAAATAAAAGGTCATGGCTTATACAAAACGTTAACCTCATAATGGTAGCTCCAAATTCCTTATCCTAACCCTACCAACTTCAGTGGCGTAAGTAATGCTTAGTTCTGCCCATCAACTTACAATATGCATAAATTAAAATCGCAATGAAACACACCATAAATGTAAACGTTCATTCATTCGTTTTCCGTGCAAGCGTCTCTTTTGGGTTGCGGACGCAGACACGACAGACAGTGCTTCTAACGTTCTCAATCATCTGCCATACTCTAAGCTTCGGCAGAAGACACCTGGAGTCTGGTGCAGACTCATTTCATATATTTGCACCACATTAACCTTTTTCGCCTCTGGGTCTTCTGCCGGTAGGCTTGGCAAGCAGTAGTTGCTTCGCCTTTCTTTCTGGAAGCATTCGCAACACCTGGCCAAACTATGTAAAAGTTTAAAAAATTATTTCAGTTTGAAGATGGCAAGTGTAGTTGAATTAGATTCTTTGTTTCTTGCTATCGACTTAATGTTCCCTATCTTGAGTCATGCACATTGACCATGTTTTAGCCCTGGGTTCGAGTTCAATGTCTTTGCCAACATGCTTTTCCCAGGTTACCTGAAGCATACAAAAACGGCCTTTTGAACTGCAGCTGACTCGTACAAAGACAGAAGCGTTACTTCGAAATACAACTTGCAGTGAACGTTACAACTTTCACGTGATGAGAATGCATAATGAAGATACCACTGTTTCACTACCTAACTAAAATAGTAACAGATTCTAAAGAGAAAGAAAACACAAGCAGGTAGACTTTCTACTAATGGGTCATCTGTGATGCGCTGCAATTCACAAACGAAACAAGCGGTGTGTAAAAGACTGGGACAGAATACCTCAAGAGATGCAGAAACTTTGAACACATACATAACTACATCTGTAGCAGTCAAAAGCACATTGAAACCACTCTAAGCATGAGCACCATTGCAATTATACAGAATCATTTAAAAATCTTGAAATCGTAAAACAGTTTACGGAGGACCTTATGAGAAGGAGGACTGATGTATTGAAATTTGAGAGTTCGCATTAGAATCAACCTGCGAACCCCAATTTGACTTCGTATGAAACATGTCACATAGAAATCGGTTGTTTCATCGACTGATATCCACAGTAAAATTAGATTATGCATGAACATAATGATTTGTATAAGTTGATTAGCCTGCATCTTTTAATTTGTACAATACTGCCTGAACATGAATGGAAAGCAGGAGCGCTCTATTTACTCCACAGAATTCTGCTGTACAGTGACCCTTATGATCTGCAGAATCGGTGTGGAAAAACGAGTAGTCTTTAGTTCAAAGAGAAGTTATGGAATATTCCTATAACTCCTACCCATATGAAATTATGTGTCTAATTAGAGTTGTTCAAGTTTAAATTTACTGCCATATTTCATTTCGTTTATGATCTCCATCCTTTCATGAATCGTGAATGCTTTCCATCTATCGTGTCTATAATACAGCGTAGTCACCGCGACCGCACCATGGGACAGTATGACATGAAAGGACAGGATGAAAAAAATGTCTGTGATCGATCCTGAAACGGTCGGATAATGATGCTACAACAACCGAAATTGACAAATGAATTATTTATTGAGGAACCTCTGCTTAAGAGAAATTCGAAATAAAATCCCTGATAAAGGGTTGGAGCCAAATGTCGGCAGTAATCTCTGAAGAAAACGTAAAAAAAATTATTGTGTTGCCTATAACGACTGGTAGCGCATTTTTATCATGTCAGATCTGAGATCATCAAATTCAAAAAACCAGCATTTTTCAGAGGTTAGATGCCACATCGTAAAAATGTGGCCTAATAAGAGTAAACCCGCAAACCGCACTGTCATCCACTGAACGAACAAGCTATTCTCGAAAACAATAAACGTCTAGATAGGTAATGAATATAAAGTTTTTGGCAACTTTGCTACATCATTTAAGAAGTGTCAATTGTTATTATATTGAAATAACTTCAGCAGTATGTTCATGAGTTTGTATTTAAAACCATACTGAAGAAACGACACAAAAGTTTCATCAAACAACGCAAAATCTTGGTCTATGGGGCGACAGACCGACACCGACGTTCGCAACATATCTGATGGGCCTTCTTCATCATCAAAAGACGGTTAATCGGCAGGTTGAAAACGGCGATGCGGTTGGCTGCGGTAGCTGACCGTGTGAAGCAAGAAGACGCGTTTCCGGTCCGTGCTGCTGGTTTAATAGTTTACTGGCGACAGACGCCATAAAGCATATCCAGAAAACGCTGCAAGGACAGGAGGAGCTTCAGCGCTTGTTGACAGAAACTATTAAAGTAACGGCATGGAGAGAAAGCTCGTCTTCTGGTTTCACACGGTCAGCTGCTGCAGACAATCTCATCGCCGCCTATTACTCACCAAATGACCGCGTTTGCCCGTAAGATCGGTAAGATATTATTACGTTTACACTTTTTGCTGATATTTGTACTGTTTATACCTCAACTATCTAATGCGTCAAGCTGATTTACAGCCGTAAGTCACATCCATCCGACAGGGTGGGAAGCTAATTCGCACGCCCTGACATGACAACACCACAACACCCGATGCTGTCCGCTGCAGATGAGGAAGTGATTTGCCACTCTTTGGGGTGGAAACATTATGGAGAATTCTTTGCCTAACGGAAACATAAAAATATTTACTCCGTGCTTCGAGGTCTTGACCCAACACTATTAAAGTGCAAATCAACGTACTAATTCCGCCACGTCACTGCCCCCCCCATTTCCGAGCCGAATCATCCATATTGGTGTACCATCCGACAGACCCCTTTATTGCGTTGTGTATAATAAAACCACTACCATGCAGCATTTCCTTCCAACTTCTTCATCACCGTTCAGGTAGTGCCGTATCTTCAAGGTTTACGTCTATAAGTAATCATGCTTCGTTCAAAAGGCAGACGGCATAATGGAATAAATCTTCGGGAATTAATACGCAATAATTGTATTTAGCATTGCCTTCAGACTGATTTTCGCCTAACCAGAACAGCCATCATTAACAGAAAAGCTTCGATCAACCCCGGTTACCAAAAGTTCGTTAGAAAAATGCTACATATCATAACAGGCTTTAACCGCTACCATAGGTTGATGAGTGTATGTTTCCCTTTGTCATGCGATTCCGCATTTTGGTCGCTGCCCGCTGAGGTTGACGAAAAAGCCGAATTAGACTACGGCAGCCACCTATGTCCTGTCGTAGATCTGGAACCTGTTTACAAACTCGAAAACAACATGCTCATAACATAACATGTAACTATGCGATTTTCTCAAAAACATGCACTGAACAGTGAATAAGCAATGAAAGAATCACAAAAACAAGTCATTTAATATACAATGTGAAGGGTGGATTGACCACTGCCGACATTTGACCCGTATTTCGCGGTCCATCTTCAAGATCAAGTTGTCGAAAAAGTTCGGTGGTTTTGGGGTCATATGCGGTAGGTGCTTGGAGCCAAGAATGCTCTCGAATAAAATCCATAAAATACGGACCGCAAAGTCAATACTGAGCAATCACCTTTTGAGTTGTATACAAAAGAAATAGTTTTAATGCTATTTTCGATATTACTACTAACGCACTATTTATATCTACCGTCTATATAAACAGCAGCATATGCTTATAAGCATTCACGAAAAATCTTAATCCTGTCACTGAGAGTCGCACAGATAAAGGATGAGCGTAAAAAGGCAGAGTTATTCAGTTTCTGCAAGATTCGCAGAAGAGTTGCATGCCGGCGCAAGCTGCACGAAGACGGTCGGTGGTACGTCGCCAAAGTCGCTAGGTACGCATGTGACGCGCTGGACACAAGTCGTTTTCCTAAAGCCGCAGGCCATGCGACCATGCAGAGGTTGGCGACAGCATGGCAGAGGTGGGAGACAAAACTTTAGGAAGACTTTATAAGGCAAGGGGACTCTAAAAAGACACCAAATGCAACTAAAAAAACTCTAACCTGGTGCGAAAACGGCTCTAGCAATGCAACTTTGTCACTGACGTTGTCGTCGGATCGGGTGGATGGTCGTCTATCACGCCGTTCACGCTGTCCCATGTTGCTTGAGGCTGTAGCGGCCGAAAGCCGAAACGTGCATTTCCTTTCCTGCAAGCATACATCAATACAACTTTAGCAATTGAACTTGCCGACAACAAACAGCATTAGGCCGTCAGTCCGTCTGAATGACTGACTGGACTGGCGGCAGCCGAAGTGACGGATGGAGCGGCGCCGCAGAAGCACAAAGAACGACATACGGCGGAGGAAAGTGTCAGAATGGTAATACTAGTCAAGGCACGTCCGTTCCCGAAACAACTCCGTACTACAAAACATCCATGCTTCCCGAGCTCATGGTCAACTTTGCCCACGCATTACTCACTGAACTCACGGTCCACGCGCGGAATGGGTAATCTGGGCAGCGGTAAAGACTCACAATGCACTCACTCTGAGCCAGCGATTCAGCTAATTCATATTACTGACAGTAAATCAGCATCCACCTACGAACGAAACGAAAACAAAGATATCACACACAAATTTTACCTTCCTAAATTTGCCGTTGAGACAGTTCTATAGATCAACAGGTTAGTGTCCCCTCAAGTGTTTTGTTAAATTGGAAACACACTATTGGCTTCTCTACAAAGTCATCGCATTATTGAACAAAAGCGGAATATGCAAAAACTAATTTGTAGTTCAAATAAAAATTTCAATCAAAATATGAATTTTCAATGATATAAATATTATCAAAATGAAATTATTGACAATATTTTTCAAAGGTTTTATGCAAGTTAAATGAGTGAGGTGCGCGTATCTTCTAATTCCATGATTCGTGTTCCGCAGGGAGTTGCAGGCAATTACGCCTTTTCTTATGCTTACTGAAGCTTACTTTTCTTATGCTTACTTGCATCCTAAAACCAACCCACTTTAACCACAGGAAAGTTTCTGCTGAAACCAGTAGTTTTCAAAAATCGAATGAGCTGTAAGCGCCCTCTTCGCAATCATGGAAAATTATTTTAACCAAAACCGTTTGCGACTCTTCTTTAAGTAGCGATTATATCAGTGTCTTGTTTAGACAGCCGAAACACCAAAGAAACAAATGAGCGCAAATATTTTAATGGCAGTATGTGAAGCATGATTAACATGTGCAGTCCAAGTATTTCTGTTGACCGGCCTCTCATCATCATGCGGCACCTGTGTAGCATAACAGTTATTATCGAATCGAGGATCAACATTGCAAAAATGCTCAAACAATAACGTAAGGTAGATAAATCGATGCCGTAAGCATATTAGAGACTGTTTCTTTCTTTTCAGTGACAGAATACTGTGCTCAACACTAGACACGGGTGTCCAGTGACAAAGTATATTTCCAGCTAAAACTAATGATTCAAATCATTCTAAGAATAATGAATTCAACGCAAATACAGTTGTTTGCATGTGTTTCAGACAACAGTTTTTTTTTCGAAAATATTTACTATCATCTGCCAGTTCATAGATCATTTACTGAGGTAAATACTCTGTACAAAACTATTTACATGTTTATAAGTGTATATTTTTACATCGTGGTCATTTAGACCTACGGGGGGGATGTGAGGCATCATTAGCACCGGTGCTGATTTTCATTGTCAATAACAATGACAGTAGAGGGCAGGTCAATCAGGCCTTCAGGTGGGTCTTCTTCCTATTTCTGGAGAGACGGCGGATTCTGGATTTGACACTGTTTGGTAGAGGACTGAAATAATATGACTGCTCCTGAGGTTTCTATTGCTGTTATAGGTCTCACAAGATGTATTTAAGGTGTCGCCTATGCAAAGCCTTTTAAGCATATTGATGAACCTAGGCCTTATGTGCAGTGCGCTTAACATTTCACCATTGGCATTATCCCATGAACCCAAGGATCCAACTAGCAAAGTATCCGAAACTTCAGGGTAGAAGTTAAGAAGAAAGTTTCGCAAAGTTACCATCGCCCCGACAACTGGCAAAAGTAGCTTAACTCAAAGTATATCCTAATAATGGTCTAATACAATATCCGCAAACCAAGTTTATTTTTGTTGTTAAAGACCTGATAATAGCAAAGAAAATCGTTTTTAATTCAGGGTAATGGCGACATGAATGCACAAATTTTAAAAATGTTACTGCACCGAATTTTCAAGCCTTACCATCAAACTGTGACAAAAATGTAGTTTTCTCGCTTCCTACATTATTCGTCAAGGATTATCTCATTCTTCTCGTTCTTCCGTCCCTCATCCAAAACTTTTTATTTGTAGATTAGAGTGAACAATGGTATTTACTGTGCTTTCTTTACACACTGGTACGGTCAGTGGCATTTAATCATTCCAGTATTTTTTACTCAGACCGTCTCTTCCGTAGGTGAATGTAGGCGTAGAGAAAAGTCGTCCATGTTCGAATAAATACCGCTTCTAACAATTAAAAGACAGGCTCAAAAACATATAGTAAATCAACTTCTATGTGAAAATTTTCTAAAAGAATATGTTGGTAAAATTCAATACGACTTGTAAGTTTCTTAAGCCATTGATCGCATTCAAACATAGCATTTAAATATTTCGCTGCATAGAAAATAAACCATTTTCGTTACTTCAGAATGATCACTTCAAAACTGAGGTCTAAGGTCTCTGTTGCCAGTCCAAAGCTCAAGTGAGAAAATACTAGAGTTGAAGACCGTGCTAGCATTGCTCGCAATAGTTATCCATCTGCCTCTCATTGTATTGCCTTTTTCGAACGTTGGGCCGGCTCGGTCGTCGCCAAAATGACCAAGCACCGAACAGGCTTCTGAGAAATGAGGCAGAATGCAAAAAGTCCGCAAGCGAAAGCTGCATTACCCTTTCTGGCAACGAGGATACAGAAGCGCGATGGCCAAAAATCGACAGGAAGAAAATGAAGCTAGCGGTCACCAATGCAGCCGCTATCTATTCTTAACGGAGGAGACAGACAGCGCATTGTCACTGGTCAGTCAAATAGGGTTCCACCATAACGACACTAACAGTGGGAGCGAACGTTCGTAAATTGGAACGCCTCCAAGCTCACAAGGAAAGAACAGGAGCTAGTTCGTGAGGCCGCAACGTACAGATTGCACATAGGTGAACTATTGTAAACGAAGAGCTAGAGCTCTAGAATTCTGAACCTCTGGGGGGGGGGTGGAAGTTATTCCACTCAGGCCTCGATATAACGACGTGCGCTGAGTTCGGTGTTGCTATTCTCCTAGAACCAAAACCAGCCGACAACATTATTGAATGGAATCCTGTCGATGGAAGAGCAGCTACCCTTTGACTGAAATTACTCAAGCTATGGCTCTATGGAAGACCACGATGTGGGAACGGTTCCACAGAAACATCCTCAACAAATTTCCATTCTTTTTTCAGACCATTTTATAAATTCAACATCAATATATTCAGTTTCAGTTTTTCTGGTAGTTTTTCAGACCTCTGTCACTGGTACCTAACTGCCGGGGTTTTATAACGTTTGGTAGATGGTACTGCTAAATGCTGTCGAGAGGAACTTCAGATGTTCCAGAACAGCAGACGTCTTTAAACTAAACATGACCAGTGTATCAACGCATACTTCAAAGAATATCTTCGTAGCGTTCTTATGGCTGAAACTTTCCATATTTCAAATTCTGAAATTTACTCATATTAGTCACATGGGCTGCTTTACTGCAGTATCAGTGTACAACACTGGTGTTTAAAAAGGTACAATTCATAAGGGATGGTGAGGC